GGCTGGCATTTATATACAAGACAAAAGACTTAGTAAAGTCAGCATAAGCTAACACAGGAGCGGATGTTAACTTCTTTTTCAACAATTGGAATGCCTCTTCACACTTGGGATCCCACATCTGTCTAAACTGTTCACTGGTTAAGTATGCTCTCTTGTTTCGTTTCTTACCCTTCGGTACTTCCCCAGCAGCGGCCAACTGATGTAACGGTGCTGCAACATTGGCAAATCCCTGAACAAAGCATCTATAGTAGCTTGCAAATCCTAAAAAAGATTGAAGTTCTTTCGCGGTCTGAGGTCTTGCCCATTCGCCACAGCTTGAATCTTCTCAGGGTCTGTTGACACCCCCTCACTAGAAATGACATGGCCGAAATAGCGTACCTCTTTTTGAAAGAAACAGCATTTGCTAAGCTTGACCTTAAGACCATGATGCTGAAATTGTTGCAGGACTCTCTCCAGTCTCTCCAAATGTTGCTCCACTGTTGATGAGAATACAATTACATCATCCAGGTATAACAGCACTAACTGAAAGCTTTCATCACTGAATATGCGTTCCATTAGACGTTGAAAGGTACTTGGACCATTGGATAGACCAGACAGTAAACAATTATATTCAAACAGGCCAAATGGTGTACAAAAAGCTGTCTTTTGTTTATCCTTCTCGGCCACTGCCACCTGATTATACCCACTTGCTAGGTCTAAAGTGAAAAACCAACAGGCTCCGCTCAAAACATCCAAAGATTATTTAATCCTGGGCAGTGGGTATGCATCTCGTCTTGTTTTGGCATTCAGCTGCCTATAATCCTCGCACATCCGAATAGATCCATAATTCTTCTTTACAATCACAATCAGTGATGAATATGGGCTGCAGCTCTCCCTAATTACATTTTGCTCTAACAGTTGTTTGATATGAGCCTTAACTTCCTCATATTGACTAGGTGGCAGTCTCCTATACCTTTGACAAACTGGAACATCATCTAACAATGGAATTTGATGTTCAATCTAATCTGTATACCCCAGATCCCCCTCTCTTTCTACAAAAATAGAGGCATATTGGTCCAATAACTTCCTAACCTTGCCTTCCTGTTCCTCCTTCAACTGGGGGAACTTCAAGATCCCAACTTTATGAGCCACCATTACCCCTGTCTGGGCAGCATTACATTGTTCAATATACACTGTACAATTTTGTTCTTCCTGCATAGGAGCACATTTTAGATCTGGATCCCCATCACTAATTACCACCTCAACCCTGTGAATAGAAGCCAGCCGAACATGTGGATTCAGAATAACATCACTAGTACCCACATTCATTATTGGGACCAATAATTGTCCTTTCTCTGGCAATACTATTGATCCTACAACCAAAAGGTCTGCTGGTAAAGTCCCCTCACTCTCTAGCAAGGGTTCCAAGAGCAATGGCTCCCTTGGCATGAGTCTAGTATATCCACTGGTAGCCCAAACCAATTGAAGGGTACCTGCTGCCACCTTTACTGGGCTTTGAGCCAAAAGGTTAACAAAAGATGGATTTTGCATGTCATGCAGTTTACAAATTTCTAATGCCTGCCTCAAAGGAACCTCACATCGCTGTAATATAGTGCTTACCCAATACTGAGACCCAAACTTTTGCTTCAACAGGTCATGACAATTTTGAATTACATTCATCCCAATCAAACCTGGGACCATTTTCTTTCTCTCCCTTGTTTCGGAATCAGGTGAATCTTTCACTACCAATACCCCTTGCTTCGGGAGAATCTGATTAAGGATTCTTAAATCTAGCTCTAGATAACCCACATATGGGATATCCAGCCATTGGCTGCCTTTAACACCAGCCAACCACAATCCTTCAATGCATCGGTGCTCTTGTCCCCCATAAACTGTTTAAAGAAGCTCTCAGTTACCATAGAAACCATAGAGCCAGTGTCAATTAAGCAATTTACTTCTACACCCCCCATTCTCCCAACTGTTACTGGACATGGGCCCACTAGTTGTTTAAAAGTTTCTGTAATGGTCCCTTTAACAATAGAGCCAGATTGCCCCTCACTTACTGTGTGGCTCTCCACAGCAAGGGGTATTAGTTTAACAACCCTGACTGTTGAGCATGGCAATCAGATCCATTTTCCATTGAATGTCTCTGCTTCCCCCGTATTTGACTGGGGTTCACAATCTCTCTACAATAACAACCAATATGTCCCACCTTCTGACACTTGAAGCAAATAGGTTGTCCTGAGGGATCAAAGGAATACAATCTTCGTGGTATTCCCTGCGGCTGCCTATTAGGGGCCTGCAAATTGGCCATTCTATCTGTTAGATCACTTAACTACCTTTGCTGACTTTTCACTATTCCTAGCAGTTCTACCAACATCGGATCTGAAGTGTGTTTTGCAGTCACTGCTTCACTATCTACACTAAAATTCTCAGACCCAAAAGATGTTCCAGGAACACTCAACCCATCCTCTGCCCACTCAACAGCTTCTTTACGGACATCCAGAAATGCCAGACTTGGTCTCTGTCTAATCATGCTTTTCAACTCTCTACAAAGTTCTTTATTTCTAACATTCTCTGCAAACTGATCCCTGAGCATTACATCTTCGTCAGACACACCTTTTGGATTACAACATTTTAACTTTTCTAATAAAGCCATTAAGGCATGTGAGAATTCAATGAGTGTTTCAGTCTTCCCTTGTTGTCTTTTAAAAAATTGTCTCTGTAATGCAGTGAATTATTGAGCATCCCCAAACACTTTGTGCAACGCTTCAAAAATTTTCTCTGAACCGTATTTCTTTTGATCTGTACTTAATTTCTTGCTTGCCCTCACCTTCTAAATGTTCCCATATGAAATCAACTGCCTGGTCTGGGGTCAAATTCCGAGCTTTAAACACACTTTTCAAATCTTCAATCCAATCATTCAATGGTTCAGATTTACCTGTATTGACTTTACATCTCTTTTCTCTTGGTACATAGACAACCTCTACCTTTGTGGTGCTTTGTTCTAGCCGCACAGTTCCAGTCTCCATTGTTACAACCCTTAACAGTCGTTCATTTCCCGTAGCCAGTCTATTCTTTTCTTTTTTCTCTTGTACCAGTCTCCTCTCCAGGGCTGTCAGTTGTTCCTGAAGTGCCTCCATCACGTTTCCCGGACCCCCGTCTCTGTCTTCACCACGGCCTTGATTCAATTTGTCTCAAAAAAAGAAAATAAACAAACCACAACAACAGAAAAGATAATATTTAGAAGGACCTCAGAAGTAGAGATCCCATCCTCGTCGCCAAAATTCTGTTGTGTGGGTACAAACACTCACTATAAGGTCCTCCAGTCTGTTAATAAATATACCCTTTTTATTTATACAAATTATTTAAAACTCTTTACCAACCCCCACCTCACAGGGTAGGAAAACATATGATGCACAAATCACTGCCGGCAATCTCTCAAACCAAAAATACAAAACTCAAATCAATTCAAAACAAACAAAATAAACTCAAAGAAACGAGACAAATTCAATCAAAACCATGGCAATCTGTTAGCACAGCAATATTCAATTCTGACCCCTTTGGTCGCTGAGGTTCTCAGGGCGCGCACCAAATCCTATCACAATTTATGTGTGGCGTTCTCACTGCATTTCATTGTTCTGTGCATCGCTTAATTTGCTCCGTGTGTGTAAGTGTCTTAATAGCCCATAGTTCCTTTCCCCACCTCACTTAACCAGAGCGCTCAATACTACATCAGGTATGATATTTCCTTGATTAAGGTTTAAAGACATTCCCCTGACATAACGTTATTGTGCTGTACTATGTGTGATGAGGGATGCGTTCATTCAGAAATGATCACACTGTTCTAATTCACGCTAGCTGACATTTTCAAGTATGTCAGCGACTTTGCAAAAACAAACGAAAACGCATCGAGAGTCCAAAAGCATTCATCGCATGATGAAGCCTATTAGAATGCAGTTAGAATATGCCTCTATAATTCAAATAATGAAAGAAAAATATCCCTGTGTGAGTTTTTATTTTTTAATCTTTAACTGATGTAGTTAAGTAATAGGCATATCACACAAGAATCAGCAGGTGTGCATGAGTGCAAATATGAAATTAATTTTATACAGCAGCTCAACAGACGAAGTTAATTGAGTGAGTTACGTTTTCGACACATTTAGTCTTTTTTCCTGTTTTGCAAATGAAATGTTTCCAAACAGAGCCGGAGCTGAGCTGTCGTGCGTCTCACTGCGGTGTATCTTTCCTGAATGAATCTGTTTTTGTCGAGTCGTGAGCCAATTAATGATCCATTCATAAAGACAGTCAACTTGCTTCGATTCTAATTGAATCATCCATTTTGAAAGAATAGTTTTGAAAAGAATTTGACCACTGGTTGTAGTGTTTTATAGGTTGTTTCTACCTTCTTCACTCCCACTTTTTCAAAGCTTGACATGCCTATTTCTGGAGTCTTTTTCAAATATAAGATGTAAAAGACCAGTACTGAAACAGAGGGGTTTCATGACACTTTAACAACGGAAAAGCAGAGTTATGCAAAAACGCATTCTGTGTAAATGGCCCATAATGCAGAAGCGGTTTGTCCACCAACAGATCAAACCACATTAGATGTACGTAAATCAGTAGTTGTAAAGTGAGATCTGTGAGTCTTATATGAGGCAAATATAAACCTTTCAAACTAGATCTAAAAATAGAGGAAAGAGAGAGCTCTTTTTATTTTCATTCGTTCATGTTCACCCAGGAGGAGCTCCAGACAAGAAAGTGTGCTTAAATCCCTCAATCAAATATGAAGATTAGATGGTACAAATAAAGGCAAATAGAAAGTAGTAATCATTAGTATTTATCATTACAAACACTCGCATTTTGTAACTTTTGTTCACAAATCAACAGTTGAAATGTGCCACCAATGAATGAATGTTGATGCAGCAGATTAATATAAAGCCATTTAAAATACATGAAGATTAAAAAATGATTGAAATAGTTAAATGAGAAATTACATCATGTTTCTAATTTGTGCTTGATCTTGTTCAGCTCTTCTGGATCTGATGTCATAAACCAGAAGAATTACAGTAGCCACGCCCACCAGAGCAGAGAGGACCAATCGGATCACAGCTTCACAGAATCTGAGGGAAAAAAATAAACATCAAACTTAGATCAGCTTCTAAGAAATGTAAATGAGTTGTAAGAAATATGGATTTAATCATTTTAAGGATAAATCAACATCTAAACACTAGATCTACTTTAAAACTTGAATAAATAAAACAGGTTAAACTGATACCGTAACTCACCGTAGACAGTAACATTGAAAAGACTGAACACATCTCCGGTTTCTAGTAAATACAATCCGGCATCTTCAGTTCTGATGTTTCTGATGGTCAGAGTTCCAGTTTTTTTGTCCAACTTTAGTCTGTTTCTAAATCTCCCATTAGCGGTGTTTTGATATTGAGTGACTGAATCGATCAGTACTTCATAATCTTTTAGTTTATAATACCATTGAATAAAATCCCACTCATCCAACTGAGTAAAACCAGAGTTCAGAGTCACTGAATCCCCCTCCTTCGCTGATATTTCATCTGCATCACCAAACACACACAGAAACAGTGTTCATCATTTGAAATAATAATTTTTTTTTAAATTCACAATGAACACAGAAATGGTGTTTGGATTAATAATTGAATATTTGCACTAACTAAAATATAAAACAGGTGAAACAGATATTTAACTCACTTTGGGTAGCGAGACGCATATTTTTGCTCACACTGTTGATCTGTATTGTATAATATCCACTGTGTTTATTTGTGGTGTTTGTGATTGTCAGAGATCCAGTTTGATGATCCACATTCAGTCTGCCTCTGAATCTTCCATCAGGACCATTATATACAGTGACTTTGCCGGCCAAAATATTAATTTCAGCTATTAAAGCGTCTTTCATTCCAAACCACCACTGAATCAAATCATCATTCTTAATTTCAGTAAGACCAGATTTCAGAGTGACTGAATCTCCCACCTTCACAACCACGGTGCCACCTGCAGACTCGGACTCTGAAGAACACAGTTTGTCACAGATTAAAGCTTTTAATTCACTTAATGTTGGTTTGATGAAGCTTCACTAAAATGAAAAACAAAACATTAAGCAGTAGTACAAAGAAGTACAAAGACAAAAGAAACAAAAGCGTAAAACGTTTACATATGTAAACCTTGAAGAATACACAAAATGTTAATAATTGTGACAAAAAAATTTAATGATTGTGATTAGTATTAGTGTGCGTCCTCGAGTCACCTGTCAGTAAAGTTGACAGGTGCTAAATTTGAAATCTTAGTAGCCTATGCTAGTGTGAAACACAGACGAAAATCTGCACAGAGACCACTACTTTAAATCCCATAACAACATAAACTTTGCCATGGCTAAAGCTGCATGCACGTACAGTATGTATAATAACCCAAGCTTTCTGAAAGGCTGAAATCTGACCAGCTGGAGAGCTCGTATATTATAAGCGTGATATTATAAAGACAACATGAATTAAATAATTGGCCTTTTTATGCTGACACTGTACTAAAACATACGATAATTAAAATATAGAAAAAATATTATTACTAAAATAAGTATCGATAATTAAAAATAATTGTACAGCACTTTGGCTTTAGTACAGTGGCCATATGAAAGCCAATTGTTTAATTTAGAAAACAGTAATTTATATTTAAATTTATGATGCCTAATATTTCTTCACACAAGGGATTATGCTCTTCTGGATCTGATGTCATAAACCAGAACAATGACAGTAGCCACGCCCACCAGAGCAGAGAGAACCAATCAGGTCACAGCTTCACTGAGTCTGAGGAATAAAAACACAAAACTGAGATCAGCTCAATGCCATACCTGAACATGTGTGACAGAGTTGAGTGATGTCCAGATGTTGAGTCTGGTTGCTGATGGGATTGTTGAGCACACAGCTGTAGCTGTTTTTATCCTGATATTCCACCTCCAGAGGTAGAGAGAGACTGATGCTGAGATCAGACACACTGATGCTGGACAATAAACTGTTTCCTTTGTACCAGGAGAGAGTCACATGACTCACATTCACCACTGAACACACCAATGAACATGATGATGAAGATGATGGTGATGATGAAGAACACTGTGAAGAGTCTCTGCTGATGACGGGTACAGGCAGACGAGCTGAAAACATGAGAGAATGAAGAGAAATATTAACTTATTTTCAGTTTAGTGTGCTGAGTGAGTGTTTATACGGTCTGTCATTTCAAACTACAAAATGATTTAACAATATCAGTATGTAAATAGACAATGAATTAAGAGTACTTGAAGGACAGGACAAATGATCTCTACTCACTGTAGACAGAAACGCTGATTATTTTTGATGAATATAATCCTCCAGTTCTCCGTAGTCTATAAATTCCATCATGTTGAGTTGTGATGTTTGTGATGGTCAGAGATCCAGTTTGTTTGTCCAGCTTCAGTCTGTCTCTGAATATCCCGTCATGAACATCCTCATATACAGTTATTCTGTCATCACGTTTATTGAACTCAACTAAATTAATTAATAGAAAACTCCACTCAATCAGATCATCATCTGTTATTTTAGTAAGTCCAGAGTTTAGAGTCACTGAATCTCCCTCCATCACTGACAAGGGCTTCGCTGCATCATCACCAAACACACAGAGAACAAACAGAAAGAGGGTTTGTCACAGATTAAGACTTCTAAATAACTTTATGATTGTTTACAAAAGTAAATAGTTTAAAATTTAAATTAGAAATTAAAAATATAAAACTACAGAATGGACACAAAATGAGCAAAATGGTGTGTGGATTAATATTGTATCTGGTGATCAAAAAATAAAACAGGTGAAACATATATTTAACTCACAATTGACATTGAGATAGAAAGTTTTCTTTACTGGTCCATTGATGTGAAGATAATACATTCCAGTATGTTCAGCTCTAATGTCTGTGATGGTCAGAGATCCAGTTTGATTGTCCAGCTTCAGTCTGTCTCTGAATCTCCCGTCAGGACCATCAAATACAGTGATTCTGTTGGTCTGTTTGTTGATTTTAGCTAATAAAGTGTTATGAAACCTCCACTGAATCACATCATTATTCTTCATTTTAGGAAGACGAGAGCCTAGAGTGAATGACTCTCCCTCCGTAACTGACTGGAGCATTATTCCTGCATTTTGAAGCACACCTGCAGAACAGAGTTTTTCACAGATTAAACATTTAAAAAACTTGAAGTGGGTTTGATGAGTCCTTCATTAAAATACTTTTAATTATTTAAATGTTAAGTGAATAATATTGAATGAAATGAATGAAAGGAGACTACGCTCAGTGGACATATCATTACAGAATGTTGATCCTCTCTGACTAATTTAACCAGTAATTTATTACATGTTACCAGAACAGAAGCAACTGAAGCCATAAAAACACATTTCAAACTCACCCACCGGATAACCAGAGGCCCCTGGGCTAAAGCATTACAGTAGGTCCCCCTACCCAAGGTAATTGTTTTTGTCCCTTGACGATTATTTGTTGAATTTCGAAAAAATAAATAAATTCTTGTTGATATGCCAATTAACATTTACAACACTATTCTGCGATAAATGTGAATATAAGTGAATATGCAAATTCACTCTTTGCCAGAAGGTGGCTTCTGTGGAACAGTGGTTACATAAAGTAAACACTACCTTGAACATTATATTTATGATTATATTTATTTGTCCAATTACATTTGAGCCCCTGAAAAAGGGGGGGGGGGGGGGGGGGACTGTGTATATAAAAATGGTTGCAATTCCTAAGCATTTGATGTTACATTTTTGTTCAAGCCCTTGAATTAAAGCTTAAAGTCTGCACTTCAATTTCATCTTGATTGGTTCATTTTAATTATATTCTGGTGGCATACAAAATTATGAAAATTGTGTCAGTGTCCAAATATATATGTACCTAACTGTATGTATATATATATATATATATATATAATATATATATACAAACTCCCATATATAAAATTATTATATGAAAAATGTACTTTACCATTAGCCAGGTCCATAATTGTAGGCCCCTGGGCTTCAGCCTTCAGACCCCACAAACACAAACAGAACAAAACTAATTTGAGAAACATTTTCTTCATCGGTTCACTGAAACGCTCACGATAGTGATGCTTAAAATGTCTGAAAACACTCACGACTGAACTGTGCTATTTATCTGGTTGTGTGTGAATCCTCCCCTAACCTCCATCACAGTTCATCCTCTTTTACATCATGAAAATCAACAAGGTTTTGCTGAACTTACATTTTCAAACTTACAACCAAGGACAGGCAATGTTCAGGTGATCAGCAAACATGTTGACAGATGCAAGGGAAAGCACACAAGCATCAAAACCAGCGTAAATCAAGGAGAAATAAACAGGATTGGTAATGTGCATTAGGGCTGAACAATTTTGGAAAATAATCGAATTGCGATTTTTTTTTTTACCAATATTGCGATTGTGATTTAATATGCAATTATTTTTTAAAGCTCTTTATATTCTGTATTATTCAACAAAGACAAGCTATAAATCATTGTATAGTATGATCAACACACTATTAGATAGATTAAACATAAATGTTATTTTCTGTAAGCCAGGCCTATATGTTACGATGAAATTAGGTGATGCATGAATTGATATGAATGACATTTTTATTTAACAACTACAATCACAGTATATTGACTGATTTCTTGAACTTCCAACCTTGTGAGCATGTAATAATTATGTTTATATAAGCCTGGTGTAAACATTAATATGAAAGTCAGTAACAAATCACATAAACTAAAGTAGATTGCAGAAATATAAAAACAAATCTGTTGCTTTACCACACTACTTTAGGTCATTCACAGTCACTGTAATAAACATATGTAAACATGTGGACTGCACTAAACACTGTCTGGTAACTTTAGGCCAGTGGTTCTCAAACTTTTTTGGTCACGCCCCCCTTTAGACCTAGAAAAAAAACCTGCCCCCCTTTCCCAAATCCCCATTCCACCCTCAGACTACCAAATAATTTCACTAAACATTATGAAAAATTAATGCTTTTTTAATTAAAAAAACCTACAGGGAAAAAAACACCTGCATCCCTTGAAACATTGAAAAATAGCATAGAGAGAATAACTGTTGTTATTATTATTCTCTCTCTATTATTTATTAATTCCTCTGCGATTGAAAAATCGCGTTTTCTCATATCGCGATATTATCGCAAATGCAATTAATCGTTCAGCCCTAATGTGCATCCATCCACACTTGGGTTTTTGAGCGTTTTCTAAAAGTTGCTCATCATTAAACATCTGAATACACTTAAATCATCTTACCGCACATGCGTGTGTGCAGGGGCGCAACTGGACATTTGCCGAGGGGTATGCAAGATCAGTGTCGGCGCCCCCCTGTATTCTAGTAGCCTTCAACACTAACTCACACTAACTCATGACCACAAGCCCATTACTAGCTTGTGCATGGAAGGATACAAACTCATCAAGAGTGTAAAAAGTGACAAAGGTTTGAACCCCCTTCCCCCTTTTTTAATACCATAGGGAAAAAAGTGAAAAGTAAAAAAAATAAAAAAGAGAAGAGAGTCACATAACATCCACTTTAACTCCTGATGGCAGACCCCAGACAGTAGAACACATTTTTTATTAATTTTTAGTTTCAAACACGTACTATTGCTCAATTTTTAGTTAGGTAATTTGAATATATATATATATATAATTTGCCTCAAAATTATTAATATTTTAGCACATTTTTAAATAGTAACATTTATTTCAAAGAACATCTGCATGTTTTTCTTTTTGTTTTGGTTTTTTACTTAAAGGTCAAATATTATATCTTTCTGGAGTTTTATTTTAGGTTTTGATGTCCTTAAGAATATATATTTGTGGTATATGTACCAAAAACCATCTAAATATATTTTTACAGCTCCTTTCTCAGGAGCTCTGCTAAGAACAGGTCGATTTTGGCCTGTCTAATTAATATTCATGAGCTTCTCTTCTGATTGGCCTATTGTTTTCTGAGTGACGCACGGCCAGGCCAACCACAGGTAACTAGGGTCATGTATGTGTAGCCTGCTATGGCAAATAGAAAAATAGAAACACCTGTAAATAGAAACTCATGTAATGATGGCCACTGCTGAGGGAAATGTTTTCCGGCATTACATGTTTGAGCCGGACTCAGACTCTGAATCAGCGACGACAGGAGACAAACAACCACCTCCTCAAATGCGCTTACAACAAGATGTTTCAGAATGGTAATATTTTTTTTCAAAAAACGAATGCAGTAATCTACGTAACTATTGCTTTCCTACTGATACAACACGTCAGCATCAAGTTAGCAACACGTTAGCGTTGCATAACCATTTACAAACTATAATTTCACATTATGCTGGCTCCATAATGTAACATATAATGTGTGAGAAGTTTACTTACGGGTTGCGGACATTACATAATGCCTGTTATACTACAGTAGGCTACATAAAATTTCACTTACCACATAAACAAAGTAAGGAGAGATGACTGAGGACGATGGCGAATTGTATCCTGAGCACCACTGACAAACATCTAATCTTGTAAAATGTGTGGTAAGTACTGCCGCTCCATAGTATAAACAAAGTACGTGCGATCGCGAATCTCGAAAGTGAAAGTGAAAGTAAAATCGTGCATTCAAAAGCAATTTTCAGGGGGACGGTGGGATGGGAGGATCACGATGCCGGTTCAACATTGTGAAGTCTATCAGACTTCGGCGATGTATGATGGCATCGTCTATCGGCCCAACCCTAGTTCGGAAGCCTGTGCAATGATGTAGTTTCCTGACATCCATCGACTGAACAGCGTTTTCTTGACATGTTTCCATGTTGTTGTTGCTCAGCAATGGCATGGACACGATATTGTCTGGGGGTTTGGCAAAAGAAGGGTGAGAAGATGGGCAGTGCTCGGGGTGGTGACTGAAGGCGGCGACTGTGTAGTTCTGACATCACCTTTTTACGGAAGTCACAACGGATCGTGAAAACATACAGCTACATTATGCAGGCCATGTGCATTTGTCTGTGGATTGACTGTTTTGAAACTTATATGGTAGTTACATAGCCCTTAGACCTCAGTCATCATGAAAAAATGGTAATTCAGTTTTGACAATATGAGACCTTTAAAGAGATAATTCATGAAAAAAATGCCATGCTAAAAGGATGATTTCTGCCAAGATTTCACCTGGTAGAAAAACAAATACTATTAAAATGAATGTCATGATTCCCACTATGACCACTAATTGGAAGCAGAGGATTATTTATTGCCTCCTTTACCAAAGCATATGGCGATACGGTACCATGAGTATTTAAGACATACTGCTGCTGCACAAATAGCATATAAAATAACCCCGTAGCAGATCTATACAGGTGGAGCTGGGGAAGGTGGAGGGTATCAGAGAAATCTGAAAGCGCGCTGCAGGAATCTCAAGTGAATGCTAACCAGCCATATAAATGCAAGGCAGTAAGCTCATTGGCTGCATATACAGCATGAACCAATCAGCTTGTGCCAAGTCTTTTAACTCTTTGAATATCATCAGTTACTTTAACACCCCATCAGAAGGCGCCATCTAGAGGTTTTTTTCAAAGTTTAGTATTGTTTTGTATTGAAGTATGAAGTAGCAAGAGTTTTCAACTAATTGAATCTACTTGAATTACACAGATGGCCTATTTTGAACTTACAATGGCAATTTTCAGTGAAAAGTGGCTGGTTTGTATCCTTATTTACAATCTTAGTTTCTCTCAAATGTAAATCAAATGCCCATTCACAAACATGTGTCCGAGGAAGGGGGCAGCAACCAGTCTGGGGTGGCACAGAAATCTTCATTATTTCAATATAGAAATGGATTTGACTATAAAGTACTGGACTGTTTTAGTGCCTAAAACACAACTGAATACAATTAATTTTGTAATTGAGATAGTTGTGAATTGCATCAAGTAATACTGAGTGACTGTTCACGTTCACGTTTGTTGTGGTCGCAAAGAGATACGGCCTTTCTGCTTCTTAATAAGTTCTTAATAAATGCATTTTTGAACTCATTAAAATGCTAAAAATCTCTTTCAATATAAAGTCTTTACCGCTGACTCATAAAACAATCTCTTGTCGCCATCACGAACACACCCACACAGTTTCCCAATACTAAATGCTACTATTATGTATATAAAATATGATTTATTAAATAACAAACAATAACAGCCATCATAATAGTTGCTAGACAATTCAGTCAAAAGTACGAAGGCAGCGCTTTAATATAGCACTGAAGTTACATAAAATATAACGTGATGAGATTTTGCTCTCTGCCAAAATTTGCTCTAGAACAAACAATAGATTAATGAGACCAAAGACTGCCCATTAGATTTACCCAAAACGAATTATATCTCCTGTTTTACCACTATAGCGACATCAAAGCCAGCTGCGAATTTCAGAAGATCTGGCCGAGGTGAGGCTGCTCTCGGTGGGATCATGAGTGCTGAACAGCTGCTGACGCCCTGGAGCTCACATATTTGAAGTCTAAACAAATACATTATCGCCTAAAAAAACTCTTAAAACTGCATTCCATGACACAAAAACAGTATTATTTTAAAATTATAGTGGATTTGGGCATCCGCCATGACACTCGCTGTTAAAGATATGGCAAGTGGAGTGATACAAACAGTGAAACGTTTGGAGGAGTTCTGATATCACTCTAATATCACACTTTTATCAGCCAATCAGATTCGAGGACTAGAAAGCACTGTTGTACAGTAGTTTGCATGATAGGACTAGGTGTTATGATCCCAATATTCAGCACAATTTAGCCGCACCATAGAACATTTTCTCCTTCGCTGTGAGCAGAACACAGTCCCACGATCCCAGTTTCTGTGTGAACTTTAGCCTGGGTGAAAGATACCTTTTGTTGAGGTGATGTTGCCAATGACCTTTGTACGGAGTTTCCACCAATGCAACACATCATCAGTTGTGTACCCCAGCTTCATTGGGTGTTTCGACCCTTTATCACAAGACACCCTCAGCCGAGGCAGGCCCACCACAGGCTGATCAGACCCGGGTGTGTGTCACTTTGTTACATCGTCATTTGGCCACTGCTGCCCACTTCCACCGGGTATACTTTCACTGTCCAGCCCCGCTTCTCTACCTCAGC